AAAATAATTATGTTTATATATATAGTTTTATATTAATACGGGTCAATATACTATATAAATAGTATATGTTGCATATATAATCATGTGGTGTTGTAGAGGCATAGTTGAGAGAGTGTGTTGCTTAAGGTTTAGAATGTGGGAGGTTAGTGGTTTGAATCTCAGCGGAAGAAAATTTTTTTTTTTTATTCATGAAATTCATCTAGAATGATGTAGCAAATTTTTGCAAACATGAACTACAATAATGAGTTTTTTGACTTGAAATAAAACAATCACAAAAGCTACATCTGTCTGCATGCAATTTATGTACAAAAAAATTGTTGGTATAACATTACTCATTTGATTATCTATCTTTCGACGTAATAGGCTACGTGATGTTGCTATTCATGCTTACATGGGATAGTCTTGGATGAAATTGTTTTGCCAAACTTAACATTGGACATAGACAAAAATCTTTGTCCCTCTGTCTCAAATGCAGTTGCAATCATAGAACTATATCTATAGTTTCTAGACCTTTCTTTGATTATAAAGGCATCATCGAAGATATGGGAATGGGCTTATGATACTGCAAAACCTATACAAGGGCATTGAGAAAAAAATAGTTGCAGAGGGCATTTTGGTCATCTCGAGTGACGGTGTTTGAGTACAATTTTCCTAAGTTCATACTCGACCTATTGATTAATCAGGCAAGTTTTCTCTGAGTTGTGTTTTGATTTTAGCCCACGAAGATAAATATTTCCCAACTAAAACTCCCCACAGAAAACGAATTACTGGACTCCTTAAAATCACTAGCATTTTCTCTTGGACCATGGATATGGGAAAAAAATATTTATCCCTTTATTTGCAATTACAGTCTTGCTCTATAATTAAAAAAAGAGAGAAGACAATTGTCGTATTGTTCAGAGGAGTGAAATACTCTGGTCTTCTTCAATACTCTGCAACCTTTTGTAGTTGTGATACTTTTATGAAGGTTAAGAATGGCTCCATTTGGTTGATATGCATGAAAGTGGTTTTGTTTGTAGTTTGTAATCCTGTCAAGGCTCTTTAATGACCTATATTAATTTGGGCAATGCTTTGTAGGTTGTCGACTCCATTCATTTTTTTAACTTCATTGTCATAAGTTCTTGTTATATAATACCATTGATAGGATATGTAGTTCTTTGTTAGTTTCCCATGTTGATGTTATATCTCTACAATGGCATTCTTTGTTAGTTTCGTTTGTTGATGTTATATCTTTACAACAGGCTTATCAATCAAGCATGTTGAAGGCATTTAAAAAGACCCTTGATGAGGGGGTTTTCTCCCTTGTAATTGGTAAGAATTTTCTGTGGTGAAACTGCCAGATTATTTTAAAATTGAAAGCTTTATATTAGTTTTTTAAGTGTTCATATGTCTTTCCACCCATCCCCCCTTGTTTTGTAGCTGTTCATAATGTTTTGGCATTTGCATTGTTAAGATCTTCATTTCTTTTGAGATCAAATCACTTGCATCTTTTGTTTAAAATTTTTGATGTATCAAGTGTCATGAATTCTTTTTATAATTTTTTGCTTGTTTGTTCACTTCTTCCAGTAGTGTTCTGCTTGGTTGTACTCACTCCATTTACAATTTTGGACAGGTTCTACTAATTCTCCAAGATTGAAGATGGGTGGTACAATTGTAAAGAATGTTGGTAGTAACCTGAAGCACTGTTGGCAGATCATTGACATGAAGAATGTTGGTAGTAACCTGAAGCACTGTTTGTACCTCTTCTTTTAGGGATATTTGTTTATCTTTTTGGACATATCTGTATGATTTGTGGATAGGTTTTTTTTTTTTTAAAGGGAATTTTATTGAGGGAAGAAATGAAAAATAATGCATGAATGTTGAGATTTTTGCAAATATGTCGTTGAGCTTCTGTTCATAGCCCTTATACTTTGGAAATTGTTTTCTGCTTTACTTTTTTGTTATTGATATATCACAAGGGTTGACAAATAGGCTGCTGTAGAAATGCGGAGAAAAAAGGTTTTCATATTTACCTTCACATGATAAATTTCAGATTGTGAGGCTGTGTTCATCATTTTCAATCTGTATTTCCCCACCCTCAGTTAATACATCTTCCTGCTATCCATTTTTGTATTATCACTGTAGTTATAAGCTCATGTTATGACATGATTCCTATCTACCATTGTTCAGTGCCACAAAACTTGGCTGCCTTACTGGCCATTCTTTAAAATTAATGTTGCAGGAATGAATGAATTTCAATGTGACGGAGGAGAATGATCGAATTCTGAGAAGGAATATGATAATTAACCACAGACAAGACATGAAGCCACAGTCAATATTTGAAAAACAGGATATGTTCGCATATTGTATACATACTTACATATGCATGCATGATTTTTATGTGAAACATAGTAATTATTACTCTTGTTTTTTAGCAAGACCTTCATTGTTGCTCAAGCAAGGTAGCTACTAAACTATCTGAACAACTCTTTTCATTGTATTATTACTTTTATTATTATGACACTTGTATCGAAGGCATTTGGCGATGTATCTATTAGCAAACACATGTCATAATGGGGTAAACGAAGGTTGCCTTGTTCTAAATGGTGGAAGGTTATAGAAGATAAGGATTCCTATGTTTTCAGACCCGGGGTAGATTAGTCTGAATATGTGATATAATTTTGGAAGTATAGTCTCATTGGTATAATTTGTGGAGTGGTTGTCTATTGTCTCTCTATGACTTGCCAATCTGGCAATGCAGAGAGGGTGGTGATCTTTCTATCCTAAGACCAATAACATGTTATTGTATTTGTGGAGTTAGAGGTAAAAGGATTTTACCACATTAGATTAAATAACAGAACAAAATACCAAAATAGGCAGCAAATTGTATTTGATTGGCTTTCCAGCATTCTTCCTACATAAAAAATTTGAGTACAATTTTCCTAAGTTCATACTCGACCTATTGATTAATCAGGCAAGTTTTCTCTGAGTTGTGTTTTGATTTTAGCCCACGAAGATAAATATTTCCCAACTAAAACTCCCCACAGAAAACGAATTACTGGACTCCTTAAAATCACTAGCATTTTCTCTTGGACCATGGATATGGGAAAAAAATATTTATCCCTTTATTTGCAATTACAGTCTTGCTCTATAATTAAAAAAAGAGAGAAGACAATTGTCGTATTGTTCAGAGGAGTGAAATACTCTGGTCTTCTTCAATACTCTGCAACCTTTTGTAGTTGTGATACTTTTATGAAGGTTAAGAATGGCTCCATTTGGTTGATATGCATGAAAGTGGTTTTGTTTGTAGTTTGTAATCCTGTCAAGGCTCTTTAATGACCTATATTAATTTGGGCAATGCTTTGTAGGTTGTCGACTCCATTCATTTTTTTAACTTCATTGTCATAAGTTCTTGTTATATAATACCATTGATAGGATATGTAGTTCTTTGTTAGTTTCCCATGTTGATGTTATATCTCTACAATGGCATTCTTTGTTAGTTTCGTTTGTTGATGTTATATCTTTACAACAGGCTTATCAATCAAGCATGTTGAAGGCATTTAAAAAGACCCTTGATGAGGGGGTTTTCTCCCTTGTAATTGGTAAGAATTTTCTGTGGTGAAACTGCCAGATTATTTTAAAATTGAAAGCTTTATATTAGTTTTTTAAGTGTTCATATGTCTTTCCACCCATCCCCCCTTGTTTTGTAGCTGTTCATAATGTTTTGGCATTTGCATTGTTAAGATCTTCATTTCTTTTGAGATCAAATCACTTGCATCTTTTGTTTAAAATTTTTGATGTATCAAGTGTCATGAATTCTTTTTATAATTTTTTGCTTGTTTGTTCACTTCTTCCAGTAGTGTTCTGCTTGGTTGTACTCACTCCATTTACAATTTTGGACAGGTTCTACTAATTCTCCAAGATTGAAGATGGGTGGTACAATTGTAAAGAATGTTGGTAGTAACCTGAAGCACTGTTGGCAGATCATTGACATGAAGAATGGCTGCAGGGACTATTTTTCTGGGCGGATTGCAGCTGGTCTCAGGTGCTGAATGCCTTGATAGCAATCTATAAATATTTTGTTTGTTATGGTGTCCACTACAGAGCTAGTTTTTTTGAGCCTACCCTTGCAGGTTGTGCAAGGGAATACATATATTTTTGCTACGGCTCTATCGCTGCCGTTGACTGTGTTCATGGTCCGCATAATCCAATTATAAGGCCCCTAAACAGGTTCTGGTTTAGTGAGCTGCCCCAAATCCATGATTACATATGGTCTTATTGAGGGAAGAAATGGAAAATAATGTGTTTGTACCTCTTCTTTTAGGGATATTTGTTTATCTTTTTGGACATATCTGTATGATTTGTGGATAGGTTTTTTTTTTTTTTAAAGGGAATTTTTTTGAGGGAAGAAATGAAAAATAATGCATGAATGTTGAGATTTCTGCAAATATGTCTTTACGTTTATGGTATATAATATTTGAATATATATATGATTGTAGGTTTTGTTTTGTTTTTTTTTTTTTGCGACGGTAAGAAGATGGTCGCTAATACATTGTAGGCTTTTTTTAAACTCTTTTGCGACGGCAAAATATCAGTCGCTATAAGTATGTTAGACGGTCGCAAATAATTTGCGACTGTTATTTTGCGGTCGCAAAAAGTATTTGCCACCCCCACATTCGCGACCCTCATTTGCCGTCGCATGGGCCGTCGCAAAAAGTCTTTTGCGACTGTTTTTTTATTATTTGCGACGGCTTGTAGCGGTCGCAAAAAGCACTTTTTTTAGTAGTGAAAGTAGAATTTATCATATCTTTTGAGTTCTATATGTATATCCATATCTTTTATTTCAATTTTTACTTTTTTTTTGTAAAAAATAATTTTTTTTAAAAAAAATTAGGAAAAATGGAAAGGAAGATTTCTAAGACTGTCAAATAGGAAAATAATAATAGAAGAATTAAGAGTAAAATATTTCATTTATTTTTTTAAATATTAGATTTGAAATATTTTAAATTAGTGTTTATCATATTTTTTTTAGATCTATATATATATACTTTTTTCTCTCAAATTTTACTTTTTTTTTCATAAAAAAAATAATTTTCATTAGAAATTAGGAAAAATGGAAAGAAATATTTATAAGGCTGCCAAGTAGGAAAGATAATCTCAACTTTGAAATAATTAGAATTTTTATTTATAAGGTTTTTCTTTTGAAGATCATAAGCTAAAGAGTGAGTTTCTTGGGTTATTTATGATTGTATGTATAGGTTTTGTTTCTTCAAGCAAGAAGATGTTGAATCTTTGTATATAGTGTGAATTTATGTTACAATTTAATTTCTTATAGGAGTTTTATGGTTTTTAAAGAGGCTAAAGAGGATTCCACCATGTAAGTGAGCTTTGGACCCCAAACCATGTCCACTCTATGCTTTTGTGTTTTGACTTTTAATCTTGTTCTTGTAATTGGGAAATTGAGTAGTATTTTGGAGTTACGGTTTTGGATGGAAGTTAAGAATGTGAAATTTAACATGTGTTAAAGAGTTTTGGGCTTTGATTTATATGAAATTGAAGTTTAATTTTGAAAATGAGAGGTTCCAAATCAAGAAACCATTTTTCGGACTGGTTTTTGCCCAGAGCCGCACGTGCGGCGGGTCTTCCCGCACGTGCGGCAGTTCATTTCCAACACCAAATATGATTCTCCTAAAAAAGCACGTTGTCCTGCACGTGCGGCCTTGTTTACCGCAGGTGCGGGATAGCACTATTTCAGCCAACTTCAAATAAGCATATCTCTAACATCCGGACTCCGTTAGAAGTGATTCTTGAGCCCAAATTCAAGCCGCAGAAGTCTAGTTTCTAATGGTGGTAGACTCACTCCCAAATTCTAAGTACACAAATAGTTATTTCTAAATTAGTGACGATTGTTCACTTTCTGTCTACCGGTTTTATACCATTTCTTCTTCTAAACCATTTCCCTTTCGATTCCTCCTATTTTCCTAGACACGGGTTATGACCTATTAAGGAGTAATGAGTTTAGAACCACCATGGCTAATTGATTAAAGAACAAGAAAAAGATTTGGTTTTATTCTCATTCTATGCTATGTGCATTGCATTTGTAAGTCAATGAGGACATCGTCCCATTATTACCAGAGGCCCAGCATTGTGAGTAATAGTATAGTAAAGATATGTTCTTCCTTATTTATTTTGATTAATGTGTGACATGATTCTCTAAATGTCGTACTTTGTTAAAATACACAAGTTTCCAAGAAAAGTAAAATGAGACATGAATAAGAAGTGTGAATTGTTTATAATATGATATGGTGGGCCCAAGGCCGTTCTGTTTATCTGCTTTGCTTATGCTATGGCATGATATGAATTGTTCAGCCTTTAAGACCTAATCATTTTAGTATGGCACAAAGTGATGTACGGAACTAAGTGCTACAGTGCGAGTCACTTCTAGGGTCCGTACGAGTCACCTCTTGGATCCATACATACATGAATTGGGCCCAAGGAGAGGTGGAGACATGCCAATGTTCCACCTACTCCATGATCAGATACGATGATACAATATGATACGTTTCGACCTAAGGTCGTTTGATATATGATTGGGCCCAAGGCCGTTTGGTTATACGTAGACCCGAGGTTGTTTCGAAACTATGATACAAACATGAATGGTTTTTCATCGTTATATGACTCATGTTTATGAAATGTTATTGGATATGCATGAATGGATGTCCTATTTTGAAACGTGATTCTAGTATCACGCACCACGCAAAATGTTTTGTGATGATTTCAAATATACATTCCATTTCAGGAAGCATGGATTTTGATACAATAATGTTTGTTTTAACAAGATTCACATTACATTTCAGAATTATGAAATATGCTTTCTTAATGTTGAGGACATTATTCATTAACCTCTTTACTTTAATATTACTCACTGGGCATTAGCTCACTCCTTTATTTTATATATATGTAGGTGAGCCATCAGGGACCAACACTAGAGTTGTATCGAGGTTCGTCTCTTTGTCAAGCTGCCTGGGTTATGCCTCTGTGTCGAGGCTTTAACTTTGTATTGGAGAATTGTGTACCTTATTGAATCTTATGTATTTGTGTGTGAGATCTATATAAGTTTTGTGATTATTTGTTGTGGGGGCCGAATATTGGGAGACGTAAATAGGCCGAATGATGGGACCTGGAAAGTTAAATATTTACATCGCATTCAGCCCCGTCTTATACATTTGAATCCTTCCCTATTTGGCCAAATAGCCGGTTGAGTAAGGGGTCGAGTGGATAGGTTTGCAGCAAAAGGACCCAAGTAAATAGTTATACGACGAATCGAAAGTGGGCCTAGCCCCGAGGCCTAAGAAAAAAAAGATATAAATAGAAGAACATCAGCCATAAAGAGGTATGTGAGAATCAGTACACTTAACTTAAAATACAAGTAATCCAGAGAATAGAGATTGATTTGTCCATCGGAGTGCTAATTCCGGCACCCCCGACCGGAATGTTTGTTTCTTTTCAGGTCGTCCAGGTCATCAGCTAAGGATCTCGAGCGTCCCAATGCATCAATAGAGTATTTCCAAACCACCTTCCCCACATTTGTGTATATGGAATATATTTAAATGCTTAAATTAATCTAAGTCTTCATGTATGCATAAGCTCAATGAGCGTTGTCTTTATGTTGTTATTTGCTTCCGCTTAAGGCCCCGTATTCAAATAAATATTCGTGAAATTTTGTTTTGAGGCCTATGTACAGGTCGGTCATGGACCAAACTTTTAGAGGCGGGTTTGGGTCGTGACATCGCACCCTCCGAAATAAGTGGGAATCAACACCAAAGAGACAAGAACAAGAATTTTGAGGAAAAAAAAACTTCCGAGCACAACAACAACCCAGATGATTAACAAGGCTTCAAGTGATACTCGACACACTAACGTGACAAATTTGAGGTTAAACAAAGGAAAAAAGACGGATGGCATACTAGGTTGTCACATTTTCTTAATAGTCTCTGTCATCCATATTTATGCACTTGATAAATATAGATTTTAAACCATTGAATGACAACCGAAGAGATTGGAGATTGGAGATTTTTATAAAAATACACTTAGATTAAATAAACATACAATAAATTTTTAGAAATTAACATAATTATTAGATGCATAATAGAAATAAGGATGCGGGAGTGTAGACACCCCATTTTTGACCGTCCTCAAGACTTGGATGTCATCATTTGAACACTCGATGATCATCCATGCTCGTGTTCGTTTTGAGTTTCTGAAGGTCTCGACTGCGCGCCTTGCCTTGGTGCCTCTTAACTTGTCTGTTTTGTGCTTGGTTGTGGACCAAGAGCTTGTGGTTTTATTTCTGAGGGAAAGGGGGTGGCTTGTTGGCCAGCCCTACAACCCATCGGCTAGGCCCTATGCCTATCGGCCGTGCCCTCTCTTCATCGGCCATCAGTGGTTGCCGGTCGGCACCTTTTATGGCCAGTTGGCACCCTTTTTGGCCGGTCGGCCATGTTTGTTGGCCGAGGCCTTTTTATTTGCTTTTGCAGATATTTTTGTTCCATCTGTGACAGCTGGTGAGCACAGATTTCATCCTCCATACACGTGTATGGAGGGACTGAACCAAGCCTTTAGCTTATCCAATAAGATTAGGACTTGGATTTCTATAAGAAGGGAGGCCCCTCTCCCTTTCCAGAGGTTCTGAAAATTGGGGATACAAAACATATATCTCTCTCTTTATATTTCCCTCTCTCTCTTTCTCTCTCTCTATATATATATATATATTGCTTAAAAGTGTGTTTTGCCTTCACTTTTTCACTATAACACCTAGTAAAGCACCATTGATTTGTTGCTGAGGTACTAGAGGACCTTGTTTGGACTCTCAAAGTTTGTTTTCTTTAGCTCAGAAGTGCTAGTTTGTTGTGATTCTTCAAGGGTGAGTTGTTACCCCTTTTAAGCCCTGTTTTGCTTAAGTGTTTGCCCCCATTTGCATACTGTTTTAGGCCTTGCTTTCAACTGAAAAAAGTTCTAATTTTAAGTTCTTAAAGTGTTTGTTTAACGCCTCTTTGGTGTTGGGAGTGGTCTACCCCCCTTTTGTGCCTTGTTTGGCCTTGTTTTGAGCCATCTTTTTTAGGCCTTTGGATCACCTTTGTTTGGCCTCTTCATCACTGAAATCTAGTGGATTTTCAATGGTAGAAAGTGTGTTTTGAGGCCTCAAATAGGAGGGGGTTGTCCCCTCTCCTCTTCTCTTATTGGCTTGTGTTGATGGCCTATCCCGGGGTGATACTGAATCTCTAAATCATAGTCCTTTATCAGTTCCAGTCATCTCCTCTGACGCATATTCAACTCCTTCTATGTGAAGAAGTATTTCAGACTTTTGTGATCCGTGTAGACTTCACATTTTGCTCCATACAGATAATGCCGCCAAATTTTCAAACCAAAAACAACTGCGGCCAATTCTAGGTCATGTGTTGGATAGTTCTTCTCGTGTACCCTCAACTGTCGGGAGGCGTAGGCAATA